AGAGCACTCATTTCCTCCTTGGATAGGTTATAACAGTCCATGCCTTGGGCCCTCTGCATCAAAGGGACTGCTCAGAGCTGGGCAGAAGAGGACTCAGGCTTGATATGCTCCGTCTTCATCCATGCAGAACCTTGGTTTTCAGGAAGAAGCTTGCCCGAGAGTGGAGACCCCTTTTGAACAAAGAAGCAGCCACAGACTTAGCAGTCAATCTTGGACTTGATGGCCTTTTGAGATGGGCTTAGGAAAAGCCCTGGTCTTTTATGTTCCTAGAACAGCATTCTCTCCTCCTCCTGCTTCCTAACGCTGGGCTCGTGGTGGACAGAGAGCAATGGGGCTTTTGGAAATTTCTAGAAGAAGGGTCACAGGCCATGTCACTCCCAGGCCAAGGGGACTGCTGCATTTCTGGACTGCTGCATCTCCTAGTTACTGCCTCTCTGAGGAGCTGTCTTTTCTTGGATTAGTCTGAAAAAAATCAGTCTCTTTAAATGAGAGCAAGTGCTCTGTGTCTTGGAAATAGCATCCCACTGCGGCTCAGACTAGTGGGTTCTCAGAGCAGTTCCCTTCAATCTGTGAAATGATTTCCGGTTTTTCAAACACAGTCCTGTTCTCGCAATCCTGTGACTGACTGTAGCGTGAGCTTCATCTGCCTCTTGGGAGGACTGAGGATCACAGGACCCAGGTGTGGCTGGGTTCAGGTTCTGGGCCTTGCCCCTGCTGTCCAGCCCTGTGTTTTGAGTGCTTTCCTCTGTAAAATGAAGTCTCTGGCTCACCTGGCCAGACTTGTCATTGCAACCTCCCGGACATGCTGGGACGTCTGTTCAGTGTTCAGTGACATTGCGCTTCTGAATTGGCTCTTCTCAGGAGCTGCCCTGAGAGGTGAACAGAGGCTGCTTCTTCCCGTGGCCAGGAAGACCACGGGGGAGCTTCATTGTCCCTGTAGCATGTGATGCTGGGGGCAAAGAGAGACCTTGAGGTCCATGGATGTTTTGGAAACAACAAACAAACAAACAAACAAACAAAAGCCAACTCAGTCCTGTCCTGTGCTGGAAACTCCTTAAACCCTCGTTAATCTGTAGATCAGTGACAGAGAGGGGATGGGATGGGGGTGGGTGGGTGGAGGGTGACAGATTCTCCATGGGCACCAAATCCTATCAGGTCTGAGATGGGTGGGACTCCAGCTCATTTCCCAGACCCTTCCTTGTTCAGACTGGGGCTCTGATGCCCAGAACAGAGCGAGTCAGGGCAGAGCTGGGCCTGGACACCAGATCTCCTAACCCTTGGCCAGTGCAGTTTTTGATGGATGTTAGAAAGAATGGTCTCAGAGAAGGATCCTCTTTTTGGGTAAATCCTGGTGAGTGGGCACCCCTGGCTTACTCTACCCTGGACACTGGCTGTTCTTAAGGGCTGGGTCACTAAGGGAGAGGGGTGGTCCCCTAGAGCTGTCCTAGGAGATGTGGTGTCTGGTTCTTTCCTCCAATGCAGGTGGAACATTTGTTCCTATGGGCCCCACTCTCTCCCGTGGAGGTCCAGATTGCTGGGGTGGGAGAGGGCAGAGGACTTCCTCCTGCATGTCCTCTCTGTGAGGTGACATAGAGATAAGGCAGGGGGACTGAGGGTGGCTGAAAGACTATTTCTTTTGATTTACTTGTCACCTGTTCCGGGAGAGTGGCTTGCTCTCCCCACATCCCTGGGGACATCTCTCTTGCCCTGGTGGCCCACCTGACACACAGGTAAGAATGACAAAAAAATTGGGGCATGAAGTACCTGCTTATTCAGTTGCCCCGAGAGGAAGTGTGAATCATAGTGCACGGATTAGAAAAAAGTAGAAAATGAAATGTTACTTTCAGAGGCCCACCTACCAGAGACCCCAAAGAGAGAAGAACTGTGCAAGAACTGTGTTTATTAAGGGCTGCCCTCGAGGTCCATTTTGCAGGACAAGTGCTCTGTGTCACAAATGAGACAGATTGGGGCTCCAGAGTATCCAGTGTATTAGTCTGAGTGGGCCCAAGGAGACAGCAGAATCTGTGCTAGTTGTTCTAGAAAACAAAGCTGGGGGAGGGATTAGAGGAGTTTGGGGCAGACCCCCAGTCTCTGTTCTGAGAGTCCAGTGGTTCTCAACTGGGGGCCATTTTGCCACCCTGTACTTCCCAGGGGATATGGGCAATGTCTGTAGAAATTTTTGGCTGTCATAAGTGGGGCAAGGAGTTGCTGCTGGTATTGGGTGGTGGGGGCCAGGAATACTGCCATCCAGCCCACGATGATTACGGCAGCTCCACACAATATGGAATCACCCGGAGAACAGCGTTGACAATGTTGAGGATGCGACAGGGTCATCCTAGGCCCTGCTGGGAGAGCTGGGGAGATGGGGCAGCTGCCAGGAAGCAGTTGCTGAGGCAGCTGGGGCTTTGGGGGGCTGGTGCCTCTGCTCCCGCTCCCAGGAGGAGCTGCAGGTCTCCCTGGGGCCACCACCACCAGCTACTCTTGGGCATCTTGTGGTGGTGTCCACTTCACTGGGCGAGGCGTGTTCGCCACAGCCAATCCTCCTTGAGTAATTTCAGAGAGAAGCTTATAAAGCACTTTAAGAGGTTGGCAAATTACAACTTCAGAAGCACATAAATGCTCCCATAAACGCCAGCCTTGCAAACCGAGTCTGTGAAGAACAAGCAGGTTCCCTACGCCCTGGGAAAGTCCACCTTTCCAGATGGAAGGACGGGGTTATCTTTGGTGCTTCATTCTCAGAGTCTTCTCTTTTTGGCGTGTTGGAACTCGGGCAATAGCTGGTCTTTATTCTTTTTCTTCCTTCTCTGTTCACAGAACCTGCCCCTGACCATTTCTACATCCTGTTCAGAGGCCGGGAGGGTCTGAGTTGACTGGGTTCGGAGAGCTGAGGGCCACAGAGGAAACTGGCCTCTGGTGGTTCAAGGCCCACCCATGGATCCAAACATGAGGACCCCACAGTGCAGAGACTCTGTGATGATGAGTTTATGGACTGTCGAAGGGCTTGATTGTGGGGTTCACCCTTCCCTCACAGCCACAACGCTACCTGGCAGGCAGGCAGACCTCCGCAGCCGCTAGCAGGACCCCCAGAGTGTTCGCACCTGGGCTCTTTGCTGCCATGCCATAGAGTGTCATCAAACACCGTCCCAGCCGGACCAACGCTTCCGCAGTACCAATGGCTTTTTAAAAGCTTTTACTTCTGTTTATTCATTTGTTATTTTTTGTTGGTGAATTGTTTTTCATTGGGATTTGTTGTTACATATTTGTCTCTGCACACAATATGACAATATAATTTGGTCGGTTTCATTCTCCGGTATCTCCTTTTCCCTCCTCCTGTCCCTACGGCTGGTCCCCTTCTTCTGCTCCATTGGTCTCCCTTTGGTTTTCATGAACTCCCCTCCTGCCGCAGTCTGGCTGGGCACAAAATCACGAGCCACTCAAGCAGGAACAAACTTTATTTTTTGAAACTGCCGCCAATACCCCGTAGGCGCCCGGTAAGATTGCCAATCCATGCACACGGTGTTCTCCCGGATCCCCAGAGGAAGTCCCTCCTCCGGAATTCCCTCCTACCGCACTTCCCCAACCAATGGGAACTCTCCAGGAGTCCCGTAGCAGGCTGAGGTGGACAGCAAGAGTCCAATATCCATAAGAATGCAAATCTTAACATAATCATATCATCTCAATGGCTAGCTGGCGTCACCTTTCAACCAAAAATGCCATGCGTCATATTATTTGGCTGTGGCTCTTAGCACCCTCCCCCTTTTCCCATCTTTTTTTCTTTCCAGTTTCCACATTTAAGAGAAAACAGATGACCCTTGACTTTCCGAGTTTGTCTTATCTCGTTTAACAAAATGCTCTCAAGTTCCATTCATTTCCCAGCAAATGACATAATTTCATTATTCTTCATGGCAGAAAAAGACTCCATTGTAAATATAGACCACGTTTCCTTTATCCTTCATATGCTGATGGACACCTTGGCTGGTTTAATATCTTGGCTATTGTGAATTGTGCTACCATAAACATGGGGATGCCTGTGTGACTGCAGTATGCTGATTTTAATTCTTTGGGATAAGTACTGAGGAGAGGTATAGCCAGATCCCATGGAAGTTCCCTTCCTAGTCTTTGAGGAAACTTCAGGCTCATTGAAATACTTTTACTTCTGTGTTGTTTGATCCTCCTTGCATCTATGTGAAGTGGGCAGACAGGACAGTGATCTCTATTATTCTTACGAGGATATTGAGGATCCCAGAGAAGAGGCATGCCCGCTGTCACAGGGCAAATAATCAAATGGAGCCAGGATTTGAACCTCAGTCTCCTGTCTCTAAATTCTGTGTATCCAGACTGGATCTGAGTTGTGGGGCAGCAGGGGGATGGGGCACAGGAATGGGTGTCGGGAGTCCCGGTTTCAGATCCAAGCTCTGCCACTCACATCCCGACTCCCCCTGAGCAAGCTTTTTTAAACATTTGTGAGCCTCGGTTTCCACACTGGTAAAAATGAAGAAAACATCAGCCGCCCCCCAGGATGGTGATGAGGTATGAAGAAGGAGCTCTGAGCTTGCCTATGACGGTGTGGGGGGGTGCCATGGATTTCAGTCCCTTCCCTCCCTTTTCATTCCTGGTGGCCCAGACCCAGATGAGCAGGGCGGGTGCATGAGTGGTGACATATGGGAATCCTCAGGGGAAGGCAGATAGGGAAGTCAGGTCTCCAGTGTCATGTCTGAGGCCACTCCCAGTTTATGGGATCTGGTGCAACCACTCTTTGAAGAGGCAATAAAATTCAGTCGGCTAGGAAATGACAACGGAGGAGAGTCCTGACTTAGCAAACCAAATCAACAATTTTTTTTTTTTTTTTACAAGGCAAGGAATTCTGGATGGGTCGTGAAAATCACATTCTAATGCAATTAGCTTTCTGGGTTAGGAAAAGGCTTTCCCAAGAGCGAAAGAAGTGTAGCATGCCAACACCCCATAGAGAGTGTATATAAACAGCCAGACAGGCCTCGGGAGTCCAGAACCTAAGCTCAGCGCTAAACTGCCACCTTTCTCTGCTGGCACCAATGGCCACCCAGATCTGCACCCCGACCTTTTCCTCTGGGTCTGTCAAGGGCCTCTGTGGCACAGCAGGTGGCCTTTCTCGGGTGTCCTCCATCCGCTCCCTGGGGTCCTGCAGGGTCCCCGGTCTTGCTGGTGCTTCGGGATCCATCTCTTCCTTCAGAATGGGCCTCCCTGGCCTGGGGAGCTGCTTGCCTGGCTCCTACCTGTCCTCTGGCTTTGCTGGGACCGGGGGCTGGTTCTGTGAGGGCTCCTTCAACGGCAATGAGAAGGAGACCATGCAGTTCCTGAACGACCGCCTGGCCAACTACCTGGAGAAGGTGCGCCAGCTGGAGAGGGAGAACGCAGAGCTGGAGAGCCGCATCCGCGAGTGGTACGAGTGTCAGATCCCGTACATCTGCCCGGATTACCAGTCCTACTTCAAGACCATTGAGGATCTCCAGCAGAAGGTACTGGGGACCTGATCTCCCTCCAGCTGAGCAGCCCTGCTGCTGGGAGGGTCCTGTCTCATTCCAAAAAACCTTCCCAGGTGGGACTTTCGCTTAGGGAATAAACAGGGAATTTTCCTGGAAAGACAGACAAGCTTTCCTCTCTAGGACCCTGGTTTCCTGGAGGACCCAGGATTCTCCACAGGTCTCTGGTTTGTACCCTGTTGCCAGCCATTCCTCAGTGGCTCAGTGACAGGGAGAGAAGGAACACGTACTGAGCCCCTACTGGGTATAGAACTGTGCCTGACAATTTCATATCCGCTGATTTATTTATTCCTGATCTTGGAGAGATGAGTATTACTTGACTCACTGAATAGATAAGGAGGTTGAATTTTGAAGGGTTTAGTAACTTTCCAAACATCATACAGCCTGAGCATGTTGGATACGGAACTTGAACCCAAGTCTGCCTCACCCTGGTATATCACACTGTGCCACCAAGAGGCTACAGATGCCAGGACTGATGTCCTTGTAATGCCCCTCCTGGGGCCCGTGGTCCCTTCATGCCTGGGGTCTGGGCTCAGGAAGCATGAGGTGCTGCCCATACTTAGAGGCATGGCCTCTGTAAACCAGGTTACCTGCCTCCCCACTGCTGGGCCTTCCCCAGTTCATGGGAAGCCTTCTGTTCCCCAGATCCTGCTGACCAAGGCGGAGAATGCCCAGCTAGTCATGCAGATCGACAATGCCAAGCTGGCTGCTGATGACTTCCGGACCAAGTGAGTGGCTTGACCAGGGGAGGTTTGCTCTGCTGCTGCCGCCTCATCTCTGTCCCCTGCTTTTGGGAACTTACAGGGTGGAATAACACCAGCTGGAGTAGAAAATGGGAAAAGGTGGCACTAATATCTCCTGAGGCAAAGGACCACCATGCTACTGACCCCAAATCAGTCACTGCAGCTGGGCAGCAAGGCACAGTCCCCTGCCTATGTGTGACTTCCCTTGCAGCAGACTCAGCAGGGTTATGTCTGCAGGTACGAGACGGAGCTGTCCCTGCGGCAGCTGGTGGAGGCTGACATCAACGGCCTACGCAGGCTCCTGGATGAGCTGACCTTGTGCAAGGCCGACCTGGAGATACAGGTGGAGTCCCTGAAGGAGGAGCTGCTCTGCCTCAAGAAGAACCACGAGGAGGTGAGGCTGGGGCCACCTGATCCCCAAAGTGTCCCATCCAGCTGAGGGAAACTCTGCCAGCCCTTGAGCTTACTGTGTGTCAGGAACTAAATGAAACACTAAAACATCATCCTCATAGTAATCCCAAGAGTGACTCAGCTATACAAGCTCCACTTTACAGATGAGAAGACTGAGGCACAAAGAGGTTAAGTCACAAAGTCCTTACTCTGCCCACGACACTAATCTCCAATTAGGTTATGGTGCCTGATGACAATTCTATTTGCCTGGCGTTTATACCATCTCACCTAAATCTCCCAAATCCCCAGGAGGAAGTAGGTTTATGTCTACAGGGAGACTCAGTTAAGCTTCCTGTCCTACGGTACACAGCTGGCAGAGAGGGAGGTCAATTGAATCACTAAGCCAGCATCCTTCTTATGGCCTGAGACGTCTTGCTTTCTCTCTGCAGGAAGTCAATGCACTCCGTTGCCAGCTTGGGGACCGACTGAACGTGGAGGTGGATGCCGCCCCACCTGTGGATCTCAACAAGATACTGGATGATATGAGATGCCAATACGAGGCCCTGGTGGAGAATAACCACAGAGATGTGGAGGCCTGGTTCAACACCCAGGTGTGCCTAGGGCAGCTCCTGGGGTGTGGGCCCTCTTTAAATTAGCTTCACCTGGTCTGACCATGCCCTGAATCTTCTTGTGTGTTGCAGACTGAGGAGCTGAACCAGCAGGTGGTGTCCAGCTCAGAGCAGCTTCAGACCTGTCAGACAGAGATCATCGAGCTGAGACGCACGGTCAACGCCCTGGAGATTGAGCTGCAGGCCCAGCATAGCATGGTGGGTGGCATCTGCCTGAGTGACTGGTCACAGTTCATGGCAGGCTCCCTGGCCCACCAGCCTCAGCATGTGGGCTATCCTGGGGCCTGATCACAAACCATGTGCAGATACCCCAGGGCTGTGGGTGTCTGGGTGG